AGAGAGAGAGAGAGAGGGAAAAGAGAGAAGGGAAGAGACAAAGGTGCACAACAACAAAACTATACTAATAGAAATGACTGATGATGATGATGATGATGATGGACAATAATAATAATAATAATAATAATAATAATAATAGCAGTGGGAGTCAAGCAGGACCATGGCAGGAGAACATTTAGGACACATAGTACCACTCGTGATCAACAAATCATTTGACCTAGTTAGGAATGATATAATTACCTGTTACATTTTCCTAACCTAACCAAAAGTAAACTAGAGAACTAGAGCACATAGCTCACATAGCATACTGCTTTGTTATCTGGCATCATTTCTGTAATGTTGTTTCTCTTCTTAATTTCAACAAACAGCCATTGAGCGTTACTAAAAAGGGCATTTCATGATTTAAGTACTGTTCATCAAAACCTGTTTGTGTATGTTTTCAGTGTCTTGGGAGTCTCTCTCTTTCATTATTTATGAGTTCATATCATGCTGAGTGTCTGCTGCTGACTCTACTAAATCAAGGTTATTGATCAATTCTGTGTAAATATGCAGGAGTTAAGACCTTTGTGCTCAATCAATATGAGCTTCAGCTGGCATCTGATTGGATCAGCCTATCAGGGGCCCATTTACCAAACAACCCTTAAGTTGGCCTCATCCCAGATGCAGATGCTGGGGAACACTGAGGAGACTTCACTCCCAAGAAAATGGCTCCGACTTTTGCTTTGCTGGTCCTTAGCCAGCTAGCTTTATACTCATCTGTAACATCCAAGAAAGGTAAAATGGAGCAGGATACTTGGTTTATTTGATTTTGTATTTGAGCATGAAATGAATCCATTGTGCTTCAAGTAGTCCATGTCTCACTTGCTGTTAATCACTGTTCTTTACTTATTTGCATTTTTATATGTGTATATATATATATATTTTTTTTTATATGCATCTTTTACATGTGATTGATGGTGTCACATCAAAAGTAAGGTTTGCACAACTTTCACAGCACAAACATTTCTGTGCCAAATGTGACAATTGTTCCAGTGAATCCTGCCCATTATATACAGTATTTGTCAGTTATATATTTCTGTTCTTTAACCAGTGTGTGGACGGCCTCCTATCACCGACGGGATTGACACATTAACCCTAAAACGTGTGTATGAGGTTGGTGAAGAGGTGACCCTCACATGCGAACGGGGTTACTTGCCTTCAACAACAACCCCTCGAAGGTTGACCTGCAGTGCCACAGGAGAGTGGACACAGTCAGACCTGGCATGCTCCCGTAAGTTTCCTGGGGTGCTAGCTGTAATGTAACAGCTGTAATTCTTGAATTGTTAAACCTCATCCAAAAGAAGAAAGTGTGAGCAAGGTGGGAGAAATAATTGGCTTTGAAAAATGTGTTGATGACAAGGTTAGAATGCTGTGTCACAGGCTTGTATTCAGGACAGGTAGACCAGGAATTGTTAAAATGTTAAGTAAATCTTGTATTGTATGTGTTCTTGTGTCAAAAAACACTGCTCTGGTAGTCAGGTTGTTCAGGTGTGAGAACTAAAAACTGTTATAGCATTAAAATGAGTTGTTTATTGCATTGAATCCACTCTAGTTCTAATTTGAAAATATAATTTCTGAGACCCAGTCACTAATGAATGTTCTCTATTGTCCCTCTCTATGTGATTAGTTAGTATTGTCCAAACTAAAAGACCTGTAGATTCAGTTTTGTACCATCTTTTATAGCTAAGATGTGCCCAATCCCTAGACCTCTGCAGCCATTAGCAATGGGGAGGACAGAAGCTCCATTCAAGAGTGTCCTCAACTACACATGTGATGATGGGTAAAAGTCACTTTATAGTTCTGAATAGATCATTATAAGGTGTGTTTACAATAAAACATGTCAGATTAATGTGAACTTTTGTGTGTCAGGTACGTCATTCAGGGAGCCAATGAGAGCAGGTGTTTACATGATGGTACCTGGAGCAATCCACCACCTCTCTGCAAAGGTACAGGATGAAAATACACGTAGCAGGGATGGTAATAGAATGCAATGTTTAATGGAAAGCAAACACAACATCCAAAATCTAGCGGACTAGTCTTCTACTTGTTTACGGGTGCTCTTGCATGCTTTATTTCTATGTTTTGCTTTTAAAGTTGTTATTTTGACAAGACACTTGCCTTGTTTGTTATTAGCAGTATGCAGTCTCTGTCTGACTTCTACATAGAATGTTAAAGTATATATAAAAGTGGCTAACTTAGTTGATTTTGTTGCCTACAAAGCAGTAAATAACATTTTGACAGCAGCTTTGTATGGATTTTGCACTCTTAATGCTTACAAAGAAGCAAGGTTTCAGAGTTGATATTAGCATAACTCTAGTGTGATAATTTTTCTTCTTACAGCTGTGAATTGTCCGCTGCCCAAGCCACCCATAGACGGAAGAATTGCCCATGATAAGCCAGTTACTGGAACCACCACAATGTATGGGCGAGGCTGGACATATGAGTGTAATCCACCTAAGGCACCGAGTTACGAGAGGGGATCCTGCATGGCTGATGGAAGTGTACCGGAGCCCCCGGTGTGCAGAGGTAACCTATCATCTATTTCTCTCTTTCAATATTAGTCATGGGCCAAATGAAGCCGGCCATAGAATTTCCCACAATGAAACCAGTCTGCTTTTAGAAAGCCTACCCATTGCAATTATAACAACTAAATAATACCTCTTCACATTGTTTTTTACCTGTCTTTGATCATCCCAGAGGTAAGCTGCTCCATCCCATCAAGCATACCAAATGGCTTTATCACCTTTGCTGTGATGAGACAACATGGCTATAAGGAGAAGGTTAGGTACGCCTGCAATGAGCACTATATTCTGGATGGCGAGGCTGAGATGCAGTGCCAAAACACAGGAAACTGGTCTTCCAAGCCAGTTTGCAGGGGTGAGTCATGTGAAAATCAGATCTTAAAAACGACCCTAAGGTTAGATTTTTGTATCCATGTTTCATTGTTATATTCAGTTAATCAGCAGTCAATTAATAAAACAAAAAATCCAGTGTGTTGCAAGCTGGGAGAGACCAGCCCCCTGGCTAGTAAAGAGAAACAATAAACTCTTCTCAACAATGAGCACTGTTTTCATTTCAACTCAATACTAATGTCATAATCCACTGACTGCACTTGCAAAACACACTTTAACTGCTCTATTTCTCCACCCAGCTCCCTGCAAAGTTGGCATCAAAAGAGGCCGCATCTTCTACAATGCCAAGAAGCTCTGGATTGCAGACCTGAAACCCAACAGAGTCCTCCATGGAGAACATGTTGTCTTCTATTGTCTGAACAGAGCTGACAGTTGTGGCTACCCTGTGGCCAGCACCTGTAATGATGGAACCCTTCCCATCCCAGAGTGCTTTGAGGGTGAGTTGCCATCAGCTTGATAAATAAAACTCAAAGATCTGTTTTAAACAGAGGCACCATAAGAACTTCTCCAGACCTGTACCTAAAATTCTTTCTACTGCTAGGGGAAAAAAATCATTACACATTGTTAACAATACACAGGGGAATGTATTGTCTATATACTGAATATACTGAATTTGGGATAGGAGCAAACATTAGACAAGGAAGGAGTCTGGATATGTTCCTCAAAACTGAGTCAAATATGTACTTGCTTTCACTATTGGCAATTCAGTGCTTTTCCCCCCTTACGTAATAAGTCTGTTAGCTGGTTTATAGATGTCTTTTGAGAAGCCCATGATGTTTCCATGCAGTCATGCATTTGATAATTACATTAATATATCTGCCTTTCTTTTTATTGCTTTTAGAACCAGGCAAGATGGAGTACACCTTAAGGGCCAAAACCCTTCCATCAGAAATCACAATGTGTGCCGCTTCGCCCTCTGCCAGCCCTGCAAGAGCCACATAACTTTGTGCAGAATGACCTGAAACACAATGTATACTGACAGGATATGAATGATTGAATGATCATGAATAATGAATATGTAACATGCTACAAGACTGAGGCCATTTTTGTTATTGGTTGCCCTTATCTTTTTTAATTTTGCCTGTCATTATAAAGTAATAGCCTTAATTATTAATGAAGCAATGAAAATGTACATGTGTAAAATGGTGGTGTGGTATTTGAAAGACTCACGAAGAAGAACCCATGTAGTTTCTAGTCTGCAGATACATACATACTGAACATATACATATCCAGTACAGAGGGTACAATAAAAAATTAACTAGCTGATTTATGACATCATTTCCCAGGAGATTTGATACCAATTCCCACCTTATTTTTGTGTGAATCTGATCTCTTTCACAACCTACCTTACCACTTTTATGTGATATCATGGTGTGAATAGAGGTGCTGGAACTTCACAGCAGACAGTGTAACTGAAGAAGTGATGAGTGGTGAAATGCCCTAAAGACAATGGCATAAAGTTACACAGAGGGCGAGATCATAAAAAGATCATACTTACTACAGTTCTAACTTCTAGCCTTTAACCAGTCAGTTTGTGTGCATGCATGTTTCCAGCGCCTTTGCAGATCTCAGCTCATATCACTTTAGTGCTACTCATGTTGGAAAAGCTTCATACATTTTTAAAATCTAATGGAAGTTGACCCTTCCTAAATTGCGCCCCTTTTTGCTCTGTGCTCCAATAACAACTTTCTCCTTCCCTGTAGCATTTGCTATGTGCTATAGGCTAATCTATATTGAAAACAACAACCACGTTTTGAAGATGGTTAAAAGATAAAAGCAACATATTTTTAGATAGCTAGTTCGCTAACATTTTTCTACAGAGGAAAACGCTAACTAGTTTGCTAATTCACATTAATTGTTAGCTACGTAGTTACATTACACAGTCTCATTATGCTAAGCTCTTTAAAATGATTCAAGCAAGAGTAAAATGGGGCCAATGGGGCATTTCTTTTTAAAAAAATAAAATAAGAATATAAATTATCTTTGTTGTTTCTTAATATTGCATCAACAAGGGGAAGTTCACAGCTGGAGAGTTTCATTTCCAGTAAAATGTCACATGGCAAAGCACCCCACCCTGCCAAAGCAGAACAAAAACACAAGAATCAGCAGTGAGCAGTTCATGCTGCTCTTATCTGTTTACCTTTACACAAACAGCACTAAAAGAGGGGACAGGGATTCACTACTGGAACCAGAGACTAGAGCAAAGAACCAAGGGACGTCTGAACATTTGTACAGAAGAAGAATGGAACGCTTTCTGACTTTGATTCTGCTATGTCCGTTGGTATTTTTTATCACTTCGACATGTGGACAAGACAGTGGTAATGGATTTTATTACTTTTTTGCTTTTATTTGACATGATATGGCTTTAGCATCAGATAATTTCTATATATAGGACACATATTCTAAAGGCATTTGTTTCGTTTTGGAGGTTTTATTTTTGCTCCGTCTATATAAAATACTTCACAATAGAAATAGATTTTAATTAAATTTTTTTATGCCTTTCAAGTTTTGTTACTGATTTCTTGTCAAATGTTGCTGGCATTGTCAGTTATACTATTCAAAAAGTAAGAATACAATTTTCACTGTTTCAGGAAAAGTGGACCAAATATTGCCCTGAGAGAATTAAACTCCTTCAGAATAATCAACTTCCAGCAAATATTGTTCTAAATTAGCTGCACTGGAAACCTTTTTGTAGTAAATAGTTTGTAACACACACACACACACACACAATTCCTCTATTTCAGGGTCAGCATATGACTACATACTGCATGGCATTTAAGATCAGCGGCAGTAATAACCCAGATGTTCATAGCTTGCTCTGTTAGGACTGGTTGGTATGTCAGGGATTTTGCAATGATAGTTTTATGTGCCTGGAATATGTTTTCAAGCATTTTGAGAGTCTATACACAATTTGTATGATGTATTTGTCCTTGTAGTGTGTTCTAGGCCTGTGATGGGTGAGAACGTTGAGATGGAGGGGCTCCAGAGGTACTTCAGCCCCGGTGTGGAGATACCGCTGTCCTGTAAACAGGGATACACCACCTTGCTGGGCCCTCGGAAGATTGTTTGCACTGTCAGTGGAGAATGGACAAAAACCAAATTCAAGTGCATACGTGGGTCTCCATTTTTAGATTTAACAGTAATGTAATTTTCTAAGAAACACATACTTGTAATATTAACATAGTTGTAATTTTAACTTCCATAATCAATTATTACTGTTTCCAATTTTACTATAAAGAAAGACTTATTTTTGATGTAGCATGGAAAGAAATACAAGGCTTTAGTAAGGATTTTGGGAAGATTATTTATCAAGCTTGTGGAGCCATGTGAACCATTTCTACCAGATTCTGTATACTATTCTTTAATATTATTTGTATTATAAATATGTAGATAAGCACATATTGTTGTTTTTACAAATATTCTGTAGATCTGTATCTCTTTTATGCTGTTGTATATGAATATGTATATTCAAGACAAAAGAATTAGTTATTTGGTCCCTGTTCATTGGCAAAAAAATAGCAAAACCACTAGATTAGACCCTGACCTTATTCTGTTTGTATACGACTACAGCAGTTACAGCAAAAATGTCATTCTATGTTTGAATGATTCATAAAAAATAGCAAAACCTTCCATTTACACATCTTCTCTGTGCTGTATTTTCTCTTACAGCAAAGCAGTGTCCCTATCCTGATCCATTGTCAAATGGAGAAATATACTATGAGGATACAGTGTACCAGAGTACCGTCAACTATACTTGTAATGAAGGGTAAAGCAAGAACATGTTGTTGTTGTTCCATGCAATTCTATTATCTCGTATATTTATCATCATGGATTATGTGTAGAATTAAATTATTAAATTAGGCCAATAAACCAAAACCTGTTGGCTTCTGGCCCCTATTTTAACATTCCTCTGATCCATTGGTATTTGGCTTCAAATGCATTTAACCTGATTTGAGTCGACTGTCATGTGTTGTATGTTTTACTTGTAATAAAGCATGGACTAACTGAATGACCTGGCTTCTCTGCACAGGTTCACCTTGATTGGAGCTGCCACTGCTGAGTGCCTTGCCAGCGGGACATGGAGCACACCAGCACCAGAGTGCAAGCGTATGTTATCAACAAGACTCTTCTGCAAGACCAGGAACGAAAGCATAGAGTAGAAAGCATAGTAGCTGTGCTCCTATAAAATCCTCTGTGGTCTTAGAAGACAGGCACACAATTGCTTAATATTAAACTTTATATAGGCCAGCAAAAACAAATCTGTACTTGTTATCTAGAAATAGACCACAGCTAAGCTACAATGTGCATCCTAACAGGCCAGGCAAACAGATACATCACAAGCGTGCAGTATGCCAATACCCAGACATTTGCATATACTTTCCTATATACTTTCTCCCCTAGCTGTATCCTGTGGTCTCGCTCCAGTCCCAGAGCTTGGGATGGTCGTTTATGACAGGAAGATCAAAGGGAATGACACTGACTACGGTACCCAAGTGACGTACAGGTGCCTGCCTCCATATGCAGTCTTCGGCAAGCCAAGAGCAGAGTGCACTGCCAGTGGCAAATGGACAGCGACACCTGAATGTCGAGGTATATAGGCTGGAGAAGAATAAGTATTTATTGATCACAACCTTACTTTAGATTTTTAGTGAGATGAGTAAAAGTAAGCAAAAAAAGGTTCAAAGTTTGTTCTTGAGCTTAGTATCAGCAAATTAAAAACAATTTTACCAGGTCCACTTATGCAGTTTATCCAGATTTACTGGAATTCTAAATGTTCACATTTAAAGGACTACTACGTAGTGGCATCTAGCGGTGAAGTTACACATTGCAGGCTGTGAAGTGTGTAGGAGAAACTATGGTGGCCATGAAAACCGTCAAAGGCCCTACATAGAGCCAGTGTTTGGTTTGCCCGTTCTGAACTACTGTAGAAATGTGGCAATTCACCATGGTGGACTCAATGGAAGCCGACCCGTGGGCTCTGTAGATATATAGGTCTCATTCTAAGGTAATGAAAACACTATGCTTCTTATTTGACAACATTCTTTATTTTATTAACAAAATAGATGCAATTTGGTCTTCAGGGGAAACATTCAAACTTGCAACACCATGGGATAGTTAGCAAAAAACTGATAAAAATATGGAACCCTGTAGTGACAGACAACAAGACGTTTCTCTAATGAACGGCCTAAATTGTTCCCCTTACAGTGGTGACCTGCCCTCCACCGGAGAACATCAACCACGGGTTCATGTCAAGCGATGACCAGAGAGCCTATGAATACATGGAAACCGTCAAATATGGCTGCAGTGGAGACTATTTAATTGAAGGAAGCATGCAGATTGTTTGTCAGCAGAATGGGCGTTGGTCTGAAAAGCCATCCTGCAATGGTAGGGCTCATTTCACACTACAAATATCAGTGCTGATCAATTATTGCTTTTACTCCCAATTTTATTTCAATCTGATGACTCATTTTTGTCTGTGTTTACTACTACAGAAGTGTAAATACAATATCAAAGCTTTTCAATGTTAAAATGCCTCTGCATTTGACTTGTGGTGAAAACCTTAACTGTAAACTCCTCAAAATACGGGAGCAATAGGTTTTACATTTGAATATCAGCCCACCAATGTCTTTCAGTACTCCTTAAATGACAACATCACTTTGACAGGTCAATATAATGTAGCTAGCCACTCAAAAACAGTACAACACATATCCAGTATGTTTTCTCTTCTCCTTGTGACTTACAGCTCCTTGCAGTGTTGGCATAGAGAGAGGGAGGATATTATACAGAGGACAAAAGATCTGGATTGCAGAATTAAGTCCTAACAAAGTCTTGCACAATGAACTTGTCTCAGTCTACTGCATGAACAAGGACAGGAAGTGTGGTTATGCAGTGCCAACCCAGTGCATTAACGGAAAACTCAAAATCCCAGAATGCTTTGAAGGTAAGGAATGTTCATCTAAATAAATCAAATGATGACTGTCACACATGGCTGTTACCAGTAAGCAGAGCTGTGACTGTGACTTAATATTGGCATGCAGATGTGTTCAGGCCGAGTCTCGTATCAGTCATGAAGCTTGAGGCTGATTTCACCCATTGACAGTATATATATTTATATTTATTTGACCATGTACACCATGTAAACTTCCTGTTTCATAACAATACATTGAAATTTCAACACCACGGGCATGCCATTCAACAAAAGCTGACAACTTTTAAATTTCACTCACTAAGCAACATTATGTAAGATTTGGTATTATACAAACATTCTAACCTGTTCTGTGTATCTGTGTGTTTCTGTGTTTCTTTTCTAGAGCCCAGCAGCACTGAATATACCCTTCATTCAAGTTCACTACCATCTGAAATCGAACAGTGCTGAATCAGATGTCTTCTTTCATATGAGAATAACTGCAATAGGGAAAAGGTTGTTGGTGTGTTCTGCTCTCTAAAATGAAAGAATATGGTGTTGTATGACTTTTTATTTGACTTTTTCCTGCTCAAGAAAGTGTGTTATTCTGCTACTTCCTTTTCTGTTCTGATCACAAGTCAACTTTGTAAAAATAAAAGAAGCCAGATACAATATATGATGGGCAGCTGTTGAGTTCAGTGAATGTAATGTGTGGTTATGTATTCATTGTTGCCACAAGCAGACATGTCCAGGGTCAAAGTAATGAAGCACTGTTGTCCACACAGAAGAGGGATGCTTTTTCCAAGCTTACAATTGCTATGTCTTGTTTTACATTATGCAAACTAATGTCAGATGGCCCACATCATGTATACTTTATCTATGGTTGATGTCCATGTGGGACAAAAATAGGGCCATCGTGGATTTACTCAATAACAGTATCATGAGTTTAAACATGCTGTTCAAATACAGCAGTCAGACAAAACGATTACCAATACTGATGACAGGGCTCACTTTGTAGGTTAGTTGGCGTTGAGATTCTGTCCAATTATCAACCA